TGGCAATGGGTCTGGGTGTAGTGGCTGGCAATGTATTGGGCAGTTACTTGTTGCGCTTGACTAGTGTCACCATGATATGTGCGGCGTCCGCTGTGCTTGTCTTAAGCGCCCTACTGTACGTCTTCTTTTTTATTGGCGAAAGCTTAGATGTTGAAGAAGCCAGTTTTTCGGTAAGTGAAATGCGGTTTTTATTTTATTAATTTCTTTCAGTTCCTTTTTAATTTAGCACAAGGCCCGCAACTTCTTCGATATTGGACTTATCAAGGCGCTCGTGCGGGCATGTGTGGCGCGTCGTCCAAATTATGGTCGCGCCATAATTGGTTGTACAACATCCATTTCAGTAGTTATGAATTTCATAATGTGTGAGTATTAAATAAGTATTTTCTACATATCGTCACCTTGACGACAAAAAGACGTAACAACAACGCAACTGAAATTGAAAAAGTCTTGACTAATATTTTTATTTATTTTTTTCATNATATTAAAATTTAATATTAATCACTAGTGCGAAAAAAATACTGTGATGTCAGCGAAAAGGTGGTGGATGCTGTCAAACCGACAATGAAAAAATTTGCGGTCCGCGGAAGGCGAAACCTTTGTTTCGCTGCACCGTGATTGTAGTAATCCGGTTCTGCATCGATTCTAGTTATTCAAAAGCCAGCAAAATGAAAAATACAGTGGCCATAAATTGAAGATAAACGCAGTAAAAATGTTTTAAATAAACTCAATTATTGCGGATGATGTTGATAAGGATTTATAATATGAGAAAATCTCGAATCATGCAATTTGATATAATTGTTTTATTTTAGTGATTACACATTCCGGCAGATACAGCTTCTAAAACGGGTAGGGGTAATTCTTGAAAATTATCCAGCACGTCAGGACTTCTGCAAATTTTTGGTTAAATTGTTAAGAACGCCAATTTTGCGAATTTTTTTCGAGAAGGAACATTTTTTAATTTCCCACAAAAGGATAGCATAGTACTACTCTCCATTTTCCCCGATTTATTTTATAATTAAAAAAAAACATAAAGAACAATCAAAAATAACTCCAACGTGTATATTTGCATGACTAAAAGTTTGAATTCAAAATTTTACATCTTTTTTAAATGTTGGATGATTTGGGAACATGTATTCTAAAGCTGAACAGTAGTACTATCTATCCTTTTGCAGAAAACTAAAAAAGAAAATCCATACCCGAATAATATCTTGACTACTGGAGAATTTTCAAGGTTAGATTTATTTTTCAGCGCAAAAAAGTTTTCAATAATCACCGCTAGCCATTCTTAAGACTGGAAAAAAGTGAAATTTCGCAGATCTGTGATATTATTGTTCTAATTTTGTTTCATTGCATATATATGTTTTAAATTATTTAAATTTAATTCCCTTTTTATTAAATATTATTTTATTCTATTTTGCTTTTATTTTATTTTACATTCATTCGTTTTTATTTTCAGGTAATCGAAAATAGTATTCAACCCTTTGTGGCGCAAATTTCGATGACCAGCTCAATGCTAAATAATGTATGGCCCGGCATTGTTGTTCTGTTCATAGGGCCTTGGTCGGATAAATTTGGACGACGACCGGTGCTATTGGTGACATATGCTGGTATGTATGTATGTATGTATGTACGACCTGCACAATTATATATATAGTTGATATGTTTTTTTGGCATAGCTTCATTTATTGGTTACATTTTAACTGCAACATTGGTAAGCGTTTCTGAAACGCTGTCGCTGAACCCTTGGTTCTACTTGCTAGGCGGCATTCCATTCACGATTGTTGGCGGAGGTACCGCAATGATGACTATCGTCTTCTGCTATATATCTGATGTATCCGATATGGAGAGCAAAGCTAAGCGGTAGGACTAAGTTGAAACATCAGATTTGGGATTTAATTTGGGTATTCGTTATTCCTTTAAGAATGTTCTATATTGATATGGCAATGGGTCTGGGTGTAGTGGCTGGCAATGTATTGGGCAGTTACTTATTGCGCTTGACTAGTGTTACCGTGATATGTGCGGCGTCCGCTGTGCTTGTCTTAAGCGCCCTACTGTACGTCTTCTTTTTTATTGGCGAAAGCTTAGATGTTGAAGAAGCCAGTTTTTCGGTAAGTGAAATGCGGTTTTTATTTTATTAATTTCTTTAAGTTCCTTTTTAACTTAGCACAAGGCCCGCTACTTCTTCGATATTGGACTTATCAAGGCTCTCGTGCGGGCTTGTGTGGCGCGTCGTCCAAATTATGGTCGCGCCATAATTGGTTGTACAACCTCCATTTCAGTAGTTATGAATTTCATAATGTGTGAGTATTAAATAAGTATTTTCTACATATCGTCACCTTGACGACAAAAAGACGTAACAACATCGCAACTGAAATTGAAAAAGTCTTGACTAATATTTTTATTAATTTTTTTCAAAAAATTATGTGGCTGTTGCTAAACTGTTGAGTGTTTGTTTCAGAAACGCACAGTTGAGTAGTTCCGCTCAGCTCAACGGTTGGCAACTTTACGCCATTTTTTCCATCATAAAATTATTTCGCTACATGGAGTCAACAATTTATATAAGGCGAAACTGGCTGCTAATAAAATAAAATGCACGTACAAATACCTATATTAAAAATAAAATAAGAAAAACTCCATTATAAATCGTTTGCTATCCATATTTTTGGCTTAATATATTTTTTTTTGTTTGTGCTGTTTTATTTAATTTTGCTTGTTTACAAATGTTTTGGCAGTTAATGTATCATCCCGTTTCTAAGATGTAACTGTTGAACTCAACAGTTGACAGCATTTCAGCAACAGTTGAGGTAAACAATTGCGTCTTAGAAACGCGCCCGATGACATCCATCATAAAAATCGAAAAGTTAATTTTGAATTTTTTATTAGTTATTTATGTACGTACATATATCAACATACTTGACGCTCAAACATATATTATGTAATATATACACTTTTTTTGTCAGCTGGGGAAATTAGCATCTTCTATTTGTTCTTGCGTAACAAATTCAATGTAACATTACAACAGTTCACCTACTATAATGCCGCTGCGATAACAATTAAAATGCTGGGATGCGGTGTTGCCTTTGGAATATTCAGAAAAGTAAGTACTTAAATGATACGTCAATGGTTTCGCTAATTGCAGCATCTGCAATGTCTACATTGTCTTCTTCAGCTCTTCAAAGTATCATTCGCCATGGTAGCGATCATTGGACTCGCTGGCTGCATTTTCGACAGTTTAACTCGTGCACTGGCGCAGAGCTTCTGGCAAATGTATATGGCATCCTGCTTTGGTTTTATGTCAGGCATCACTGCTCCCATGTTGCAAGCAATTATTTCGTTTGCAGTGCCATCAAATGAAATTGGTACAAAAACATTGGCTTAAAAACAAAAAAAAAACAAAAAAGAAATGCGGAAACTAAACTCATTATGTGCTAATATTTTAGGCAAAGTCTTTTCTCTATCATCATGCGTGAATACGCTCACACCATTGGCTGCTGCCCCTTTATATACGCTGGTTTATAATCACACACTTAACATTTATCCTGGCTTATTTAATTTTATCAGCGTAGGACTGTACGTGGAGTGCATCGTTGTTATGATGTAAGTTTGAAAATCATTCGTAAATATGACATATAAATACATATAAACCCCAATTCTTAATCCTCGTCCAAATATCGCATGCATTTTTTATTATTTCACCACAACAGTTTAGTATACATCTGCCAGCGACGAATTGCCAACAGATCCAACGCGCTTGAATCGGGGAGCGAAACGGAAGAATCTCAAATAAGAAATATTCCTACCGAAACAGCTCAGCCAGCAAGGACATCTTGAAGAAAAAGCAACAATCTGATATCTTTATTTTGCCAAAGATTTTTTTTTTTTTAGAATTAGGTTAGAAAATTTCTACTTTTATGTGATCATAAAATAGTAGCTCCAAAGTGTATAAATGAGTAATCTCATATGAGGCATTGAGTGCCAGCGTAGTTTAACTGACATTTCAAACAAGTAGTTTTTTAAGCAAAAAACAAAACCGACTTGAACTCAAAGATTAATTTCTTCATGATCCAATGATCCGATTTAAGCAAATTAGTATGGGACCACCTGTGAGGTAACAGCTTTCCTTTAAAAAAAAGAATTATAGAGATCGGTTAACGTGGACCAAAGTTATGCGGTAACACACACACACAAAAAAAATATTCCGATGAATTGATAACCTTCTCCTTTCTTCAAAATACCACACTTGAGCACAGTGAGGGTCGGGGGGCTTAGGTTTTTATCGTCTAAGGAAATCTAGCGTTTTTTCGAGATACATTCAAATATGGCGCGTAGTGTTTGGCGCTTTTTAAACTCATGGGACTTTTGTTTCTATAAATTAAGTTCTAATTACGATATATTTTGACATAAGTTGTATCTTGATAATATTTTTTCCACTTGTAATTATAGGTATGCATGCACTATTGCCGTCACGCAACGAGCGCCGTATTAATAAAGACAAATTCATATGTATGTATAAACCAAAAAAAAAAATTTTTTTTTTTAAATTTTTGTTACCCACCAAACAATTTTTGTTGCCGGCAATAAGAAAACGTGTCGCCTTCGGAAAACTTGGAAAAAGTTCCCTTATATTTTCTATATACATATATTTATATTTAATTTTTTATTTTATTTATTTATATTTCACATGGCACACTATGATTAAAAAAAAACACAGAACATTTTTTGACACCTTAGACACCAGAAGCAACAACAAAATACACGTAAATATTGTTTTTGCTCTGTTTAAGATGCCTTGGCTCATACTAAAAAAAAAAATTGACAAATCTTGTTTTGCATATGAACTATGTATACCCTAAGAGACTTAGATAACCGTGGAATTGAATTTGTACCTAAAGAGTACAACCTTCCGAACGTCCCACAACTGAGGCGAATTGAAACTTTTTGGACAATTTTGAAAAGGTGTGCTTACGGCAAATGATACACCGAAAAAAATACCACTTAATTAGTTAATAAAATAAAAAAGGAGCTTAAGGACATCGATACAAAAGGAATTCAATGAGGAAATCGTCGGCAAAAATAAGAAAAGCAACTCGTAATGGAACAAATATATATTTGTAAATTAAAGTAAAGTTAAGTAAATTTTACGTTTCTTCTGATTTCATTCACCATACGTTAAGTTTATGAAATTCGATTTCCATACAGATGGAAATCCTTTCTAAAGTAATTTCAAACTGAAATCTTCTTAAATCTTTTTCATCTAGCATTGTGATACATAATTCAATTAACTGATAAATTAGGTTGAATTGGATTTTTGAATCACGAGGCAACCGCCCTATATAAATATAAATATATATATATAACTATATATGTCGATTGATCTCCATATCTTAATAATTCATTTAAATTATTAAATTATTTGAATGTAACTTTTAAAATACGTGACAACCCTCCTAAATACAGACATTTTAGAAATAACGCCTTTTCAACCCCATTACGATGCATACCGATCTTTTAGTAATTAATATAACCCACTAAATAATTTGAATGTAATTTTTAAACACGTGCAAATCCCTCTCGAACACTATAAATGTTAAAACACTCTTTCGTTTAACATCCATATTTCCATATTTCATATAACTTGTATAAATATAAGTTTCTTATATAATAAGTTAATAAGTTATATTTACTTTATACTTTACTTTACTTTACTTTACTCCATAAGTTATTATATAAGTATTATTTATAAGTCATTATACATATATCTGCACTCTAATGTTGGCCGATGTACTTTCAACGTACTGCATATATGATGCCACCAAATTAAAAAAATTACAATGAGTAAAAGATGACTATGATTTGAGAAACTAACTACCTTAATGCTTACTTAGTCTAGACTTTATTTCCGTAACTTAACTTAATATTTTGACCAACCCGTTATATGAGAAAGTGCTACTACGTTTATGCATAAGCCAATTCACGAAATTATTTCATGAATTTGGGTTAAAATTGGCAACATAAACACAATTTCGTGAATTCAATTATCTATACAGGAAAATTAACCATGAGTTTCAGCATCATTTTATGAAATCGTGAAGTGCTAGTATTGCAACGCCACATTTCATAAATAGCTATTTACTAGGGTTTTAGGTACGTTTTTAGATTCAAAAGGTTGTAGTCGGCATAAACATGATTTTGTTATTGGCATACTCGAAATTCATTCATAAATTGTTATATAGGGCGTATGTGAATCGGTAACAAAGTTCTATGGGGAAAGCTGTTGAATAATATTTTTACTATGGTGAGAGAGTTTTGCCAATTTGCTGCGTGAAATGAAATCTTTTTTGACAGCATTAAATTCTTCATAACTGCAGATTTATGCGGTATAAAATATTACAAATCGAAGTGAAATTAATATTTTAAGAAAACATCTACCATCGCTGAGCGCAATTCATTTATTTATGCTTTTATTAAACGAAAAATTTCACACATCAACAATCTTTCCGATTGTCAAAATTTTCTATTCATTTGTCAAAAATTTCACTAGCCTCATAAGCTACTGAAATTTTATTCGCCTCCTAGTTGTCAAAAATTTACTCGCCGCGAACTTTGTTACCGATTCACACACGCTCATACATGACGAAAATAATATACGTGTACATAAGTAATACTGTGTAAAAATCTTCCATGCCAATATTTAATTACTTTTAACTAATATGACTTTTAAGTTCAGGCGTACGAGTAAACGTGTTAGATGACTGCTTATGGTGCAACGGTGCGTATACGTTACGTACGCAACTACGGGTATATGAACATGAGTGTTCATAATTAGTCTGTTCCAAGGTACATTGAACAGGTAGTATCAGTAGAGCAGCTGATTTGATTTATTTTCAAATTATTTGGTCTCGAAAATGTCAAATATTTTTAATTTTTTCTCACGAAAATTATAAGTTGTTAAAATCCATTTGCTTGTGAAACCTTTTTCCATACAAAACAAGCGATTGAATAGCAGCTTTTGGAACGTTCGCCCAACTCGGCAGCACGACCGCTGATTACTGGGCCTTGCAAAGGATGGATCAATGCTTCGAGAAGCAAACAAATTTACTAGGAAAGAAAGTTGCATCAATTTTTATTTTTTCCAATTTCAATTTTTTATTTTTTATAATTTTTTGTATTTCACATGGCACGCTTTGATTTAGAAGAAAAAATTCAGAACAGTTGTTGACACTTTCGATACCAGAAGCAACAACAAAATACACGCAAATGTTGTTTTTGCTCTACTGATACTACCTGTTTAATGTGCCTTGGTCTGTTCCAATAGCAGTCCGCTTTACAGGCAGTGTGACCGTTTTGATCCAAGTGGATCAAAACTGATACATTTTTCGATGAATTTTGGGGAGATACTTTTTTTTCAATTTTGATACTTTTCCAAATACAAATGAAAAAAATCTCCAAATTTTTATGCATTAAAAAAGCATGTCGGGCACCTGTGGCAACGTACATCCAAAAGTTCATTGTCGTTCTCTGAACGAACCTTTCATGTATTGTGATTCATGGTCCATGTCGAAAAACGTCAAAATGTGAACAAACGAACAGTATCATAGCGCTGCATTTTTTATTTTCGCTATGTTCAATAACAAAAATTAGGGCGTGGTACTCGGCAATTCGGTGCTCGGTAAGGCCCTGTTTCCACAGGAAAACACCAATGTCGTGATAACCATGTCACAAAATATATTTCCAATGGATGCCGCCTTATTGCTTGACATCTATTGCAGGCAATTTGATAGTTTGACAGCCATATTTTCACTTCATAGAAAGCGTGCTGGTGGTTATATCGATGAAATATTAATATTAAATCAAAATAAGAATCTATACCCTATTGGATTATTTATGACAACGTTTTAGGAAGTTATTCAGTAAGTTTGTTTAAGATTTAAATGTTTTTTAACACTGAAATTGAGAGAATGTTGTTTGGCGGCGGCATGCGGCAAATGCTTATACATATCTAGACATCAAAGTGCCCACACACAACAGTTGGTAGGCAATAAAAATTGCAAGGTGTAACTGCAACCGAAATTGCGAAAAATCGCACTTGGGAAATAATTCCAACTTGCTCGTGCAATAAATGTTAAATTGTTTTAGAAAATGGTTTTTCATAATAATTATTGGTTTTATTCCATACTTTGGTACTTAAATGAAAAAAAGCGATACATATTGATACATTTTAAGTCTCTTTTCTGCTACAATTTTTCACAAACCCGCGGTCACACTGTTTACAGGATTTAGTTAGAACTTACAGGAAGTCGTTCCTATTGACATAAACCCTGTAAGTGGGAACACCTTTGAGAGAGTAACTGAGCAACTCTTCCTAGTCAGAAGTTACAGGATTTAGTCCGGAGTTTTTTCCTGTAAGTTCATGAATAGAGTCAAACGATCAGCTGATTTGCATTTGCAAACAAAGACAGAAAGCGGTGAAAGCAAAGAACCTTATATTTGTAAAAAAAAATTAATGTAAACAACAAAATACTTGAATATTTATAGATTTTAATCTTTACTTAGTGATATTTCTGTCAAATCAATCAAATCAAATGTCAGCCAGCTATTTAATTTAAACTCAGTTTACTTAATCTAAGTTTAAACTGGCACTGAAAAACTCGCCCTTAGACTGCTCCCGTAATATAGAATTTAATCGGAAATAGTCCGAGGTCATTCCGTGCACATAAGTCTAGAATATCAACAATCTATCTAAGTAAAAACCAAAAATGTGGCTCGATAGAACTTTTTCTGCTGATTTGAACTCAACCAAAAATTATCTGGTGTAAGTAAAAAGTAAAGCTGATATCAATGGTTAAAGTTAAAATTTTTGAGTTTTTGAAATATTAATATCTCGCGAACAATATAACCTATTAAAAAAACTAATGACGTCAAAAGAAAGGCAATTGATTTGTCTTGCATATATGTATGTAATTCATAAGTTTTTTTATATTTTTAGTTCGGAAATACTAAAAAACACAAAATAATATAAATAAATTTTTTTAAATGGCGTTTATATGATATTAGTTTTAAAATTGGTTATAGTATAAATATATATGGTGGAATAAAATGTATTTAAATTATGTTGCAACTGGCATCAATAATATTTTAATCGGTAAAGTAGTAGAAAAGTTTAACTTTAACCTCATTTTATTGGCTTTGGTTTTTATTTGCACCCAATAATTTTGGTATGGTTGATATCAGCGTAGTAAGTTATCGATCCTCATTTCTTGTTTTTTATATCTAAACGGTTGGTATTCTAGACTTATGTGTGTTGTGTGTTAAATCCTGCAGTACGGGAACCGGCTAAATGAGAATAAGAAGTAAACAAAAAAAATGTCAAATTAAACTCTGATGGCCTTATTCATAAAAAATAAAGTAGGTTTAAGGAGTTTTATAAATTGACGCTTTCATACATTTTTCAATTTATAAACCTTTTATAAAGCTACTTTATTTTTTATGAATAAGGCGAACACCAAAAGCAAATATGAAACATCGCGCCGACAAAAGTTTCCGTGTATAAATACAGACTTAGGATTATGTGAATTTCCCATTATTTTCCCGCTTTGCACTAGGAATTTTAGTTACAAAAATACATCGATGTATTTCTTTAATTCGATGCATCGAAATGTATCGATTTTCATATGATTTCTCAGATATTACTTCACAACAAAATATTTTATTAGAAAAATTGTAAAAAATTTCAAATTAGTTATCGCAATTAAGCTAATTATGTTTCTAACGGAACCTTTTGGAACCATTTCGATTTTTTGGTCAAACTCACTTCCCTTTTTTGCACAACCGAAAAAATGAAATGTGAGGTGCAATGAACCAGAGATGTCAGTTTTCAAAAAACATCGATACATCGACTATTTATTCATCGAGTGGAAAAAAGCTTCGGTTCGATGTTTTCCCGATGTTTTAATTTCTAATCTGCTACATGAAATAAAATGTAGCCGAAGTATTTTCTAAACTCGAAAGAACTAGATTCACATATTCACTACAAAATTTAAGAAAATATATAATATAGCTACTATGTAACCACGAAGCTCTTAAAAATCATAATTTACTTATCCCAGCGGTAAAGGAATTTAATAAAGAAAATACATTTTTTCAATTGAATAATATATATTTAAATATACACTGTCCATCAAAAGTGGGTGCATTGTGATTTTTGTTAAATGTTTGCAATATTTTTCAAATAAAAATGTTTATTTGTTTCTAAGAATATGGTCCATGCTTTAATCAAAACCACATAATTAAAATTTACAAACTTTATACAGAATTTACAAAAATTCAAGACATTTTCATCTTAGTTTTGAACATTTTAATCTGAGTGTTTAGAAAAAGTGGGGGTACATCTTTTATGTAATTCTAGCAAAACAAGTGCAAGTTTTAAGTGGCTAAAATATCGCTTTGATGTTTAATAATTTTTTTGCTGACAGATTTTTACGCTCGTTCGGCAGAGTACGAACGGAATGAATGAACGATGTCATTGTTGTTCACTTTTCTAGTCGACGATGTATCGTCTAGCAAAACATCGATGTTAACATCGATGCATTGTTGGCATTCCTATTTATGAGTTGTTTTTGTTTCCCTTGAGTACGATAAAGTGAAGCGCAAAAATTAGTTGATTGCAGAAAAAATATTCATCACGAAGCTATAAACAAAGAAAATAAGATTTTAATCAGTGAATATGCAAGAAACATAAAATACGCTATGAAATAGTGGTATTCTATTTTTCAGAGAGTGATTTGCTAAAATGCAAACGACTAGCAAGTGAGGAGCAGCTTGTATTTTGAATGTGGAGAACTTTCACAAATCACATGAAACCACAACATCAAAGGGGCTTCATTCAACTCAGTTTGTGCTTGCGATTCGGCTGCGGTTGAAGCAGAAACTCTGTATTCCTTGGTGGCATTCAATCCCGCTAACGAAAACAATTGACGAGGTACACGTTTACAAGGGGCAAGAACGCCGCTACGAAGATTCGCCAATAACAAGTCTGACTAAATCGACGAAGTGTAGGTGCAATTGGGCACGATTCACTGTGCATAAAAGTTTAAATATATATTAACGCTAAAAAGAAGGGCAATATTACGGTGTTCAAGTGCACAAACAGAAAATCGAATACCAGTGACTAATCGAAGTCATTTGATGAATATATAAGTCATTTATATAATATATTACTTTTAACAAAATCGAAACAAAAGATGCATTCTGACGAAGAGAGCTTGTATGACCCTGAAGATGCTGACACATCCACCCAGGTGCTAGATGCAGCTGTGGTCGGTGTGGGGAGTATTGACGGCACACCGTCTACCGAAACCGCATATAGCAGTAATCAAAGTGACGATACAGCCAGCAAAGAGGGAGTACCTGTAGAGTCTGCTGATACGGATATCAACGCATCATCCAAACGACGCTGGTTCATCTTGGAACCCGCAGTGTTTTTGGTTTTTCTCGCAATGTATTTGTCAGGTAATTTACAAATATATAATTGATATTCGTATTCTCTATTGAAGTATAACTTGATTTTTATTTAAGGGGCGGTTTATCAAAACCAAGTTTTATATCAGACGTGCGTGGCGATATACAAATACAATGAAAGCGACTGCCAACCGCTTTTGGGTGTCAGCAGGGAGACGAAAGAAGCACAGGTGGGTTAATCGATTTTTCCCTTTTTTCCCTAGAAATACTACATACTTATTGTATGCAAACCAAAAGCAGTTTACATGGTTTGGTCAACTTTCACATACAAAGAAGGGGAGAGAAGAGAAGTGCGGTCCATGTGACATAAATGTAGACGATGTTTAAATAAAAAATGTTGTTGCTGATGCTGCCGAACGAGGGTGTTGTTAACAACAATTAATAAATATTTATGAAACATTATTAAATGATTGTGCTCTTTAAATTGTGACAAAATTTATTAGTCGATTGTTCTTCTCGGCAGGGAAGCAAAAAATACAATACCATTGGCATCTTTTGTGCCTTTCCGAGAAGCACAATCACGGTACCGTCATGCTTACAATAAGCCTTCAACAATTTTTCACCGTCATATACTACCATATAAAGTGAGAAATAGCCGTTTTAATTCCAAATGCGATAAAGGAAGCGCTCAGGAAGGAAAACACCAGGCTAAGGGAACTACATTGCGTAATACCATGGGACTTCGTCAATCCAAAAGCTTAATGGAAGGGTACAATCTGAAAAGATAAAGGATACCCACAGTCCTCCCTAAGAATAAACTTAGAATCATTGCAAGTATTTTACGGGCCATTATAGGTTAAAAGGTCACTTGTATAATTTAAGAATCTGATCTAGTCACTTTTTTGACGCTGCCAAGGAGATCCCATTACACCTCTTTCTGGAGGTCGTCGCATGTAGAGGAGCATATGGCATTTATGGCCAAGAGAGAAGCACATACACTCTCTACCCTCCGGGATCTATTCTGCTATTTCTAGAGTCTCTAGGGCTAGTTGAAGTGTTGTGATGAGCTGAGGGCACAATAGACCTGCTGGTCGCAGTGGTTTAATCAACTATGTATCTACTTTTGAATTCCTTTATGCAGAAATATTTTAATAATATTTTGTTAAGCATTGGTTTTGATTATATTTCGTACTCTATCCAAATATTTAATAGATACATAGAAAGATCCAAATTCAGTGTTATACCAAATTCAGTAGATTACTTACTAAGGACCTAATAAAATTTTAAAACAAATCAATAAATTACTTTTAAATTTTTATTAAAACCCGTTCTTGGGAGTTTTGATTTTTTTTGTTTTGATTCTTATAAAGTTTTACAAAGTAGTTTGTAAATAAACAAAAATACATATTAGAGCGGGACTATTAAGGTACACCTTAAAAATAAAATAAATATAAATATAAAGATATAAACAATATAAACAAATATACGTACATATATGTTATGCGGGAAATATTTGAAGCGGTTAGAATCATAAGGGTCTAAGTGAAATTGTTTGAAAATATAAGTTGTACCCATATTTGTATAGTTAAATATAGTGTTTATGTGGTGACAAAGAGTAACATTCATTTAAAAAAATGTCAGAACTACTTAGATCCTTTTGATTCTAACGCCTTCATTTATGACAATGTACACATATATTTCTGTGTTCGTATGTAACAGTAGCTTATGTTAAAAGGCAGGCTTTAGTATAATGCGGCATTCGCAGCATACGATTGCGAATGACTCACTGGCGCTGAGGCGTTGAAGAACTTTTGGCAAATAAACATGCAGAAATAGTTCGGATACTAGCAAGTCAAAATTCTTATTAAGTCGCATCGAATAATTCCTTGTCGCTTAAAGAATAAAGGGAATGTCGCATTATACTAAAGCCAACTTCTCGACTTAAGCTTCTATTCCATACGAACACAGATTTATAGGCATATGTACATATGTGTTATGCGGGAAATATTTATGAAAATGTACACATATATTTATAGGCATATGTACATATCTCTTTGTGTTAATCTGGTTATATTATTTTCTTTAAAATAAAAAAATAATCAGGGTGTAGACACATTTAGCTACTTATCGCTACTAAAACTGTTTACTATTTAAACAATAGAAACTAAAGCCAATGCATAAATGTAGATTATTTTTTTAATTAGGCGCGATGATGCATTAAATGCGTTTTTTAATATAATTTCCAACTTTTGTGTGTGCCTATGACGCTCGTTCCATATTGGCTGCACTTCACGTGTTGATTAGACTTTTGTGTGAAATCGGTCAGCGGCGACTACATTGAATGTATAAGTTGTGTGTAAACATATGTATGTCATGTCAAAATTCAAAACAAAAATCATAAGAATAAGTAAAAGAATAATACAAAACTCGTTTGCAATTATGCATCGGAGTAGATTCCAGTCATTGCTTAAAGATAAAAAAATTTGGATTGCTTTGTTTTATTTCAGTAAATTCGTATTGAAGAGACATACATATTTTGAGTTCACGTATTTGGAATTTTTATAATAAATAATACTAAATAATTCCCTATTGTATAATCTTCATATCTACACATCTNAATCAGGGTGTAGACACATTTAGCTACTTATCGCTACTAAAACTGTTTACTATTTAAACAATAGAAACTAAAGCCAATGCATAAATGTAGATTATTTTTTTAATTAGGCGCGATGATGCATTAAATGCGTTTTTTAATATAATTTCCAACTTTTGTGTGTGCCTATGACGCTCGTTCCATATTGGCTGCACTTCACGTGTTGATTGGACTTTTGTGTGAAATCGGTCAGCGGCGACTACATTGAATGTATAAGTTGTGTGTAAACATATGTATGTATGTCATGTCAAAATTCAAAACAAAAATCATAAGAATAAGTAAAAGAATAATACAAAACTCGTTTGCAATTATACATCGGAGTAGATTCCAGTCATCTCTTAAAGATAAAAAAATTTGGATTGCTTTGTTTTATTTCAGTAAATTCGTATTGAAGAGTCATACATATTTTGAGTTCACGTATTTGGAATTTTTATAATAAATAATACTAAATAATTCCCTATTGTATAATCTTCACATCTACACATCTTTTTTCTTGTAGGAAATTGAAACTCGCGTACAACCATATGTTGCGCGTATTCTAATGGCTCGCTCGCTGTTGGAGAGTATCATACCGGCATTTGTCAGTTTATTTGTTGGTCCATGGTCAGACAAATTTGGTCGTCGCCCCATCATCCTCGCCACCTACACAGGCAAGTTCAACTTTACTTAAATACAGGCACCCTTTCTTATTTAAGTAGTTATTCATTTATGTAGATTGACTCATTCACTGCGTATGGCGTTGTACAAAGTGCCTTATCAAAAAATTAAGCACTTACTTACAAATGTAAATGAATATTATACACATATATACATTCAATAGCTGTGATGACAAACTGATCTGAGCTGTAAATTCAAAATAGTGCCAGTTTTATTCTGTAACCTTCAGGCTAACTAGGTTGATATATTGTAAACTATTTAAGAACAATTATAAAGTCAATTAAATTATTGAGGCTGCATTTCTTTATTCATTCTGAATGTTTGGAATAAACTTTTTTGTTTATTTATTCTTTAGAACGTTCCTGATGATATGTTGACGTATATTTCAAACGCATTCTGTTTATTCCGGCTGTGAATTGTGATTATCCGGAATGTATAAAGAAACGCAGCCTGAATGATGGATCGGTGTCGATTATTAATATTTTGAACGTCAATAAGAGCACTAAACCTTTATGTTCCGCGCTCATAATTAATCAAATCCTATGAAAAATTCGCTCGTAGATACATAGTAAATTTGTTGGCAGTATTTGAGCCGTTTATTTTGAAAGTGGCATGAGTCCCTTTGTTTTCAAATCGATATACATACATGTGAGGGTTGCGTTTTAGCACGTTTCAAAAAATGGATGCTAACTTTCGAAAAGATTTACTTGTATTTGTTATCTTAGGATACCTATATTTTACTAAGTTTATTTTACTTGCAACATAAAGAGTTTAGAAAAATTACTGACTTATATCAATTTAGTCCAATGTATTTTACTGAAGCAATATTTTCAAAGGACACTCATTTACTAAAATTGATGAATAAATTATATACATATGTACATATGTATTTATAAAATAGTTTTAGAATCTTATTACTATAAACGAGGATTTCTTGTATATATGCATATAAATATACATATCGTCGTTTAAAGTACAAAACTTCGTATCAACAAAATACAGGATCTCGTATCAAATTAGAAAGTATTTTCATTAATTTCTTTACAAACTGATTTTAAAATGTCAGGTCATGACATATGTATTTTAATGTTTTTGCGATCGCTGAGTACAATAATGAAGTCCGATTTTAAAATCTACAAACTGCGGGTCCAATATGGCGAACGCATTTTTAAAACTTCCTTGTATTCGCGGTGACTTATGCCACTTTAAAAATAATCATCTAATTTACTAACCAAAAAACTAAACATAAGATACATTGAAATACTAGCTTGAAACCTTTTTTTTTTTTTGTTACTAATAATCTATTATCTTATTTAGGCTACCTCACTGGATGTATTATACTAACGATTCTAGCTTTTATTGCAACCAAAGTTATAATTAGTCCCTGGCTATTTCTACTATCCTCTGTACCCTCGGTGCTTAGTGGTGGTACTTGCGCGCTCATCACCGGTATTTATTGCTACATATCAGATGTGGCCAAAGAGAAGGCGCGTGCAGTGCGGTAAGATCAAAATTATCATTCATATCTGTACATACATACATACGACGAATGGATTATTCAAATACATATGTAAATGAAATCTTATTTTTGCCTGTCCACAGCATGGTGATGAATGAGGCTTCTTTGTTAGCCGGCATGACGGCTGGCAATTTGCTTAGCAGTTATATTTATGCAGCAACAAATGTAGTAACAGTCTTTGGCATATCGGCACTGCTGATGTTGCTAGCCTTATTATATGTGTTCATATTTGTTATGGAAAGTCTGCGGCCTGATCAAATACATACAGGAGTAAGTTAACGAGAGACAATTGAATATTGTTAAACTCGTAAAACTTTAATTTACCCAAATTTATAGTCCAAAATACGCGAATTCTTTCGCTTCGATCTGGTGAAGGATTTGGTGCATACTTGCTTCGAACGACGGCCCAGCTTTGATCGCGCTATCATTTGGTTAACTATGATAACGTTAACGATTGCTTTATTCACCATGGGTAAGCATACATACATATGGGCATATGTACATGCATATGAGTGCATTCCAATTTAAAGCCTTACNATCTGGTGAAGGATTTGGTGCATACTTGCTTCGAACGACGGCCCAGCTTTGATCGCGCTATCATTTGGTTAACTATGATAACGTTAACGATTGCTTTATTCACCATGGGTAAGCATACATACATACATATGGGCATATGTACATGCATATGAGTGCATTGCAATTTAAAGCCTTAATTTCGCTCGTTACTCTTTTTACATTTTCCAGAGGGTGACAGCAATGTAACATACCTCTTTTTCCGTGCAAAATTCGAGTGGACCCTAAAGGACTACACGCTTTTTAATGCTGCGCGCATTATTGTACAAATATTTGGCAGCATTTTCGGTATCATTTTATTGCGAAAGGTGAACTTTCTTTGTACCCAACAGACCTTGCATTTTCACATATTGGTTCCCAACAGGTTTTCAAATTTTCAATTGTCTCCATGACAATGCTGTCATTGGCTTGCTGCGTGTTGGAGAGCACAGTACGCGCCACTGCAGTGTATTGGTGGGAGCTGTATTTGGGTATGGTACTCGGTGGCATGCGTGGAATAATGGGACCAATGGCGCGGGCCATACTATCACATGTGGCACCACCAACGGAAGTCGGTAAGAGTATTACCTAAAATAAACACTACTTGTGCTTACATACTTTTATCTTACATCAATTTATCAAANCATACTATCACATGTGGCACCACCAACGGAAGTCGGTAAGAGTATTACCTTAAATAAACACTACTTGTGCTTACATACTTTTGTCAATTTATCAAAATATAGGAAAAATATTCGCATTCACTACTTCATTGGAATCTCTGTCACCGCTTGGTGCTGCTCCACTCTATACGATCGTATACGACGCGACGCTAGAGTTTTATCCAGGTCTATTTAATTTCATCAGCGCCGCGCTATATTTACTTTGTTTCACATTGATTGCGTAAGTTTGCGTAACAATAATTACTCCAAATTGCAATGACTTAAATGATAATCATTTTATTCTTTTTATTTTTACAGCGTTATATATGGCATTCAAAAATCACTGGGCAATACTGCGGCCTATCAAGCGATCGGTAGTTAAGTTTTAATGTCACAAGCGTACAATACAAAGTTTATTTCAATAATTACTAGACGAAGTTTTTGTTTATAAAATTAGTAAATTATCCCATGTGATGCAAAAATACTAAATATGTACATATGTAAGTATTAATTTACAGTGAGAATGGAAGAGAAAAAGTATACGAATTTTTAAATGAAAAAGAATGCATATTTTTATATTCACATTTTCAATGTTTTTTTTTAAGATCTAATCTNAAGTATTAATTTACAGTGAGAATGGAAGAGAAAAAGTATACGAATTTTTATATGAAAAAGAATGCATATTTTTATATTACACATTTTCAATGTTTTTTTTTAAGATCTAATCCNTTCATTGGAATCTCTGTCACCGCTTGGTGCTGCTCCACTCTATACGATCGTATACGACGCGACGCTAGAGTTTTATCCAGGTCTATTTAATTTCATCAGCGCCGCGCTATATTTACTTTGTTTCACATTGATTGCGTAAGTTTGCGTAACAATAATTACTCCAAATTGCAATGACTTAAATGATAATCATTTTATTCTTTTTATTTTTACAGCGTTATATATGGCATTCAAAAATCACTGGGCAATACTGCGGCCTATCAAGCGATCGGTAGTTAAGTTTTAATGTCACAAGCGTACAATACAAAGTTTATTTCGTTTGNCAATACAAAGTTTATTTCAATAATTACTAGACGAAGTTTTTGTTTATAAAATTAGTAAATTATCCCATGTGATGCAAAAATACTAAATATGTACATATGTAAGTATTAATTTACAGTGAGAATGGAAGAGAAAAAGTATACGAATTTTTAAATGAAAAAGAATGCATATTTTTATATTCACATTTTCAATGTTTTTTTTTAAGATCTAATCTAATCCCAAAGTCTTCGTATTTTTGTTCTGCTTAAAAGTTTGTCACAAATATGTAAATATGTATCTACATATGTATATCGGTTTACGAAAAATGTAATGTACATATATGTAAAATTTAAGTAATATTATTTAATAACTTTGAAAAATAGGGTAAATTAAATAAAGCAAGTCGTCATAAGTCGTTTATAGATTTGTTCGCAATGCATATTAGTACATATATCGCACACCTAGATCTAGTGCGATCGACTCAAGAACAATTGGGCGATTCTCTTGCATAAATCAATTCATAGCACCTATGTACATCCAATTAATGGAAATATTTTTTCTTCATGAATATTAACATTAGCTAGAAAACTACTGTTATACCTGTTTTTGTATTAACTACGTTGAATCTGTACGATCCAGAAGCAGTTAAATTTCCCTCTCTGAATTTTGAGTGAGCTCACTTTAAATCTAGATGTGCGATACATATATTGTTACCCATTTTTAATAAAGAAAAAATATTAATACTGAAATACAAACTTTATTTTATCTACTATGTAAGTTATGCTTCTGTGGCATTTTCGTAATTAGCACATTATAATGTTGTATCAGCACATGGGCCCAAACTAGCTGTTTAGTAAGCTGCGCCCGGCGGAGCGAAGCTGTTTGTTCCCCCACTGAATATGGCGGAGAGAAACATTAAAACGGCTGCGAAAATACCACGAAACTTTACTTCGCAGCAGCTTCACGGAAAAATAAAAGGAGCTTTGTTCTCAGATTGGTAACGCTTCTGGAAAATAGCACAGTTTCATGTGTGTAGGTACATTAAAGTCCAAAGAAGAGTTTTGTTTCTCTTAGTTGAGTTCGACAGTGTTTTTCCGCAGCTGATACTATTAATTTATTCCTTCCTCTAGTGAAATCCCGATAAGCATCTTCGTTTTCTACGTAAAATTTTCGGTCCAATATTATTTACAGTGAACCAGTTGTTAACACTTGCGCTCTGCTCGGGGTCGTCATCATAACTTGTTTGCGCCGTTCCGGCCGTAATACATATAACAGGGGAGCGTTACTCTTGTCTTGGGCTTATCAAAAAGTTTCTGGGCGGTTCTGACGGTTTGGAAAAACCGAGTCAATTCCCATGACGGTGGGTTGTACGTACCGGAATGACTTGGGTTTTACCCGACCAAGGGCGGTTGTTTTGGCAATCTAACCCCGCTTAGATCGGCAAAATCCTTCAAACGTCGCTCGCATATGGGGCTACATCTGCTCCGTATTATTCTGCTCAGGGCTGTCATTGAGTCAAACCAGGAGACGGGTTGAGTTATCGGCGTTAAGCACGCGCCGGCATTGGATCACGTTGTTTGTGGCCCCATGCTGTGTGAACCGGACCGCCTCCACGGCACACCGGAGCTCGCCTGAGAAGCACAACACTAACACACCCACACCCCAACACAACACAACACAACAATAGACACTTATACGGACACAACCGCTCCTCCCCCCAACACGCCACCGCTGGCAACTCCTACTCCCTCAAACAATCTGCTCGGTGTGTCGGTCCAGAATATACCGTAATATTATATCGGTCAATTGCTACTCGTGCCTTGGCTGGTGCCACTTTAGGGAATGTTCTGGACCCCGCAACACGCCAGATTAGACTTGTGACTACGTGGACCCCTGCTGTGCTGCCCAGTCGCAAACTTCCCCCGCGTCGGTGCCCACTACCACCACAAGGAAGCACCCTCCAAGTGATACCATTCCACTGTAACGGATTTTACAGCAAGACCGAGGAGATAACGTCTTCATGGGCCGGCTCAGAATATTAATAGCTGCGGTCCAAGAGACTAAGTTGCATAGCATGTCGAATGATCGTAGGGGAACACACTTTGATGAGCAGATGGACGATTCTACATATCAACGACGATGCAAGCGCTGATCTAATAAACCGCCCATATTCATCTCGATTGATGAACCTGCCGACTTTGCTTCAACGGAACACCGAAACTACATAAACTTTCCTAAAGCTGATTGCAACGGCTCCGTGAAAGTTACTGAAACACCTTATCTGCCCTTCCCACACCAACCGACGTTCAGGTAGGTGAGCGTAAGTTCCGCAGGGTTGTCACTGTTGCTGCAGCTCGCTTCATTCCAGCCGAATGCATTTCAGATGCCCGTCCGAATTTTCCAGCCGAAGCGTCTTTTCTAGCCGATGAGCGTGACAACCTTCGTTAGGCCGATTCCAGAAATCCCCGCATCAGGGATCTCAATACGGATATTTGGCAACTTGGAAACGAACATACGCGGAAGATGTGGAAAGAGCATTTGAAGACTTGAAACTTCGCCTCTGGTGTGAGCAAGCTTTTGTCAACCGTGAGGTCGCTGTCCAACTCGACGAAGCGTGACGACAGTTGAAATCTCTTTCGGCGACCATACCTCATCGGATCCGGAGCGATGTGCGAGCTATTTTAGCATCCTCCGGTGGACAAAACCAAATGTCGAATGACCAGAAGGCTGCACCATTTATTGCTGCATTATTTAAACAAGGTTCTCAATCTGTCCATGCCCACCCTCATCATTCCGGACATCTGGATAGCAGGGAGGGTAGTCCCACTGCTTAAACCGTGGAAACCAGCCAACAAAGGAGAGTATTTTCGCCCGATATCTCTCCTTTCCCCGGTAGCGAAGACACTTGAGGCCCTTCTACTCCCGACGCCAGCGGAGCCTCAGCATGGGTTGAGTAAAGTGCGAAAAATTTTCAAAATCAGGTAACGGAAAGACGTGCCTCAAGAGCCCTAATGTTATACAAACAAAGGCTCTATAGCTTCCAATCCTGACGAGATGAGAGAAGGCGTAGCCGTATTTAAGATCAGCGTGCGAAAATCCAGTGATTGATATGAAACAAATAATCACTTTTCACTGAATATGAGCTCTTTTTCCTATTTCATGTAAAATTTAGTGAATTAATTTATGTAACTTTAGAACTCTTGAGGCACGCGTCTCCGTTATCCGATTTTGAAATTGTTTCGCAGGGCACATTTTTATGACCAAACGGACCTATCTAGGGGAGTCTTGTTTTGTGATGCGATGAAAAAAATACCTTTGCTCCGAAGCCTTGTTATTTACAATATAAGTTTAAGCATACCTATAGATCTTTGTATACATACAATCATATATATATATATGTACACATAAAAGGAAAATGTATTCTATGTGTATCAATATTTTTATTCGAGATTCAATTCTACTTAATATCACATTATTTTAAATACACACATAGTATGTATGTATGTATGTACATACAAACAATCAATCAATATGAGGTAGCATTTAGTAGTCGCATAGATTACTTCAAGATTGATGCATAATGCTCCTTGTAGGAATACTTGAATCGCAATACAATGCTGTAAAATAATTTAAAAAAAATCAATGTAACAAATTATTACATCTGTCTGTTATTTAACAAATGTATGTACATATGTATAACTAGAGCTACTCACATCAGAAATAAAAATGCAATCGCATACAGCGCCGCGCTTACAATGTTGAATAGTCCTGGATATGTTTTCAATGACTCCTTATAGATGACTGTGTAGAGAGGTGCCGCCAAGAATGGCGCAATCGATTGCAAGACATTTTTAATGGAAAATATTTTTCCTAGAATATGTTGAAATTGTTGATTTACAAATATAAATTATAGATAACTTATTATAGATATTTTTATTCACTCACCCAAATCTGTTGGCGGTACTATATTTGATATAATGGTTCGACACATCGGTCCACCAACTGATTTCAAGGCACCCAAGGCGACAGCTAAATACAAATGCCAAGGCTCAGATGCCACTCCCCTTACAATGCTGCTTACAATTTCGCTAAGAAACGAAAGTAGTGCAAGTGTCACCACGGACATGCTGAAGACCTGCAAAGAGATTGAATTGACTTTTATTTAAATTGTATTGTATGTACTTAGCTTGTGGATGCAATTTTTTTAAACATAAAAAAAAAATCTAGTTTGATCATTTATCAACTTGTTAGCTATTAATCACGTTCTATTTTTACACGTAAAAGTACCTTGATTTTATCAATTTATGAATCGGTAAAATTTTAGATGTGAAGTTCGCTCTTTGGTGCGGAGAGGATGGTGGAAGTGGACAGTTAGAATGAAACGCCAAATTTCTGTGGGTTGGCTGGACGAAACATGACACAAGGCCGGTCCTGATTTGTCTCTAAACCGCAGCTGACTAGGGACGAGGGAAACTCGTTCCAAAATACATCAGAGACACTAAAGCTTCTCTCTATGTTGGCAGGTTCCTTAGACATACTTGGAGGGAGCATCCAACAATATCCGTATAGGCGATATAGCAGTCTCCCAGCAATCTCTCCGTTCTTGGGCAGAATGACGAAGGGCGAACTAATTCTATTCGCCACAAAGAAGAAGATTTATTGCATAATGTTCGCTGGTTTGGGTAAAAGCCATTGAAACCAACTCCATATGAATCGATTAATTACTAAAGCGAATAAGTCAACATATTTTCGATATGGGAAATTTGATGCAGTTGAACAGAGCTCCATTAAACGAACCGAAATATCGAAAAAATACTGACTTATTATTCCCTATTAGATCATTTTAAACGTAACCATTGAATGTCATCTCTAACATGTAACCGATTGACAGTGTCACGTGCTTGGAGGACTGCGTCTGTGTAAGCAACGTGCGTTAGGGCATGGACGTTTTGCTACACAAAATAAAATATTCTCTCAAGAGTCCATGTATTCGTGAAAAATCTATTTACATTCGTCATACGCCTTCTCTACAGAAAAAACTTCGACACAATGTTTCCAGGAAGAAAATAGCGGAAGCACACTGCTTTTACTGAACGCGTCGCACGATCTTATTTACGGACGCCTTAAAAATGAATTACGCCATTGGGGTGGGGCGTTTTCGACTGACCTCCAAATGGAAAAGTCTATTCGACTACCAGATTTTGACAGAACGAGCCTAAAAAAACGTTATTGTTTTCTCGGAAACGTTACTGTTTGTCATCAACCAAAGGTAGAGGGGTGCTAACTAATTGGGATTGAGCTGGCATGTGAAGAGGTGGTTGATTGTGTGGTGTCCACATGCCGGACACTCACTGGGACTATCGGAGTCAAGTCTGGATAGGTAGCTGTTAAGACGACTACCATATTCGGACCGTAACTTGACCAGAGTAGCGCGGGTCGCGTGGTAGTTGAAGCTCCGAGTCTGCGATAGATGGTGATTGGGTTCCGATCAGGACATCCATAGGACGGGAGTCGTGGTAGGTGGTGGCTGATTCCCACTGATTGATCACTCGTCGGTACGTCGTCGGGTCCAGTGGTTGGTCGACGTATGTTTGGACCACGTCCATATACTTGAAGGCGTGCCTTCTGACGTGCCTGGGAAAGGCTCTTCCTTAGCAGGGGTCTGTTGGGGTGCATACGCCAGTGGCATCCCACCAGAAACTGCCTACTGAGAATTTTGTTATGCTCCTTACGGGAAGCATTTGGGCCTCACTGTGTAGTTGGTGCTCAGGCGACATCAGAAGGCATCGTTGTCGCTGACCGAAGTGCGGCATTCTGACAAGTCCATAGCTTCGTTCACTGCGTCCAACTAGTACCCAACTAGTAATTCAGACCCGGCCGGCCAATTGCCTTGTATGTTGCTAGCAACGTTTCTTTGTCTTTGCCCAAGGTATTGCCGGCGAGCGACTTAAGGACCCTGTTGCGCTTCTGTACTTTATTGACAATTGCAGTTGTGTGCTCGGAGAAGGAAAGCAGGCTATCGAAGGTAACCCTAAAATTTTCGGCTTTTTCACCGTCGGAATTGATGTGCCACCGACATGAATGGCTGGTTTAAGCTTGACCTCCTTGGCCCAGGCGGGGAAGAGAGTCCCCGTTGCGTTGGAGAGAGGATTAGGCTCCTTGCAGTAAATAATCGAGAAAGTTCGGAGAGATAACCGTATATTTTCGTGCAGAGGTCATCAATTCCATTCCAAGACGCCAATGTCGAACATTCATCAGCGTGTGTGATCAGGGGAATTCCCTCCGGTGGCAGATGGAGCTTCAAGACATAGAAATTAAACAGTAGGAGGGAGAGTACACCACCTGGAACCCCTTTCGNGCCTGGAACCCCTTTCTTAATTGTTCTAGGTCTTAAGCTTTGATCTCGGATAATTAATGGAATATCTCTGTTGTAAGAGAGGGTATTTTCCCTATCTAACTCCACTAGCTAGGTTTAAGAGAAATAAGTAATCTTTTATATTCTCTTTTTAGCTGTTTTCATATTAAATTATGACACTAATCAAACAACCAACGGATAAAATGAATTTGTTATTTTTTAACAGAAAAATGCACATTTGGCTTTTGTCTTACCTTTCTCAATATCAAGAAACCAATCAGCGCTCCGAACATAGGCACCATATGACTAACGGTCTCGTAAAATGTGAAATCTCGCACAGTCCAATGGAATTTCTCGCGCACAAACAAATAAAATACCGTCATTGCGCCATCTGTAAAGTTTATAGAAATAAATAATTAAACAATTAGAAAAGTTCCAAAACAGCTGGGAATTTCACAACAATTTATATGTACATACATACATACATATATACAATTAGAATTTCCGATTGAAGATGATATCATTACAACTAACCGAGCACGAATATCGACAGGAACATAGTGCCAGTTACAAGCCAAATAATGCAGCGATCATAGAATGGCCTCGTCTTCAAGCAAGTGACCAGCATATCTTTTATGTGCACGTAACTGAAGAGTCCCGCCTTTTTAGATTTTCCCATGGCAGAAGTTTCTTCAGATGTTTGCTTTTCTGTTGTTGCCCCATTCAATGCGGGTTTTTCGTTAGCATCCTTCTTTGCCTTTTCGCAACCATTTAATTCTTGTATCCGCCCGTTCTCTGGCTGGATCGATTCTTTTAGCACATCGTCTGCTGAAATTTCAACTACTTTTCCTCTCGCATCTATTGCAAGCACGCTTTTTCGCTTTTCGTTTGAATTTATTGCCTTACCGACATGGTCCATGGCTATATGTTCCACAGGTTTTCCATTGAGCGTAATACATTTGTTAGCATCGACGGCGACGACGTCTTCAACCCTGTGACTAAGATGTAAACTTTCCGGCACGCAGACAACAATAAAAATTGTTGTGCTACACATGAGTAAACCGGATATGAGGAAAGTTGTTGTGGTTCCTGTAGCGGCGTAGACAAAACTCGAAAGCAGCGAACCGGTCATTAGGCCAATGAAGAAGAATGCTTCCATGAAAATCATTCTAAGGGAAAATAAGATAAATAATATTTTATAAATCGATCTTAATAGTTGTATCCTATTAAAAACTATATTTCAACTCTATACAATATGGAAGTCCTGTACTGTTCACATCTTTCGATATTTTTATTTACTTTAAATTTTAACCATTTCCGGTCTTTTCTGTAATTCCAACCCAATACCCAAAATAATAGTAAAAATTCCCTAAAACGCATTATACGGTCACTACAATTAAAAATAAGACGGAGAACACAAACAAATTTTCTAATTTTAACAATTTCTGAAAAAAAAATCGTAATTTAAAATTTTTTGTTAAAAAAGTTTATCTATAATAAAAGCATGGGTTTACAAAATCACGACCCCAGCATTTTTACGAAGAACACATTTTTGCGTTAGCGAACTTTGGCCGCACTTAAAAAAAATAACCCTCATCAATCCATCTCCGGTACGCTGAGCGCACAGACAACAAAACGCCGTTTCTATAAACCATAGCGTATTATTAGTTGCGTTCCAGATGCTTCACGATTTGCAGGAACAGCTGTTTTCTCCATTAATAAACCTTATGGAAGGTGGTCACCTGGCACGACATCCTGTAAAAACCTGTAAATCGTGAAGCATCTGGAACGCAACTATATTATAAAAGACGTGAAATGCATTAAGGTTGTAGTCAGGCTAAGAGATGGGCGCGTGATGGATTTTGGCTCACGTTCACGCACACACATTTTCTAAAAAAATTTTGTATTATGTTCACGCACGCTTCTCACGAACATTTTTTGCATATCAATAGGATTTTGTTACAAAAGCTTTTCAAAACATGAATCAATGCTTTGAGTAACCAATTGCTTCACGAAAGTCACGCGGGAGTATTTCGATCGTAATACCTAGTGTGACCAACTGTACGTAAATGACACGTACAGTACGTAAATTTGTAGCTATGTACTGTGTACCGAAGCCAACCAAAAAATCACGAAAATGTACGTTAATTGAATCGAAGAAATATTGTTGTACGTAAATTTTATCGATAGGAGCGCCCAACATACATACGTACATGCAAATTTTGACTAATAAAACCAAAAAATATTATAATGAATCAATTGATGGAAAGTGTAAACACCTCATTAAAAAATCGTCAAATTGACGATAAAATCCCAAACACTGGCAACCATTTGAGGCATAAAGTTGAAGTTTTTACGTTAAAAATGTCTGTGGATATCGACTAATAAACAGCAATAAAATCGTTTCCAAAATTTTTCTTTAAAATTTTGTGTTGCTACAATCTTTTGTGTAAATGAGTTTTTGGAAAAGTGGTCACATTAGTAATACCTATTTGCTTTTTGCATTATTTATTTTTGTTTATTTCCCTTATACTTTAAGCCACACAGCCTGTACGTATTCAATTTTATTTGACATTGACGACGTGACGCATTTGCCGGCGAACGCATATTGTGTAACTTCACTTTAACTCCTAAGCCAAGTAACATTGCCACTAAAACTTTAGTTAAAAGCTTATCAGCAAGTTAAAAATACGCTGATGTTAAAATTACGTGATTGGCGGGAAAATTTTAATCACGCACGTTCATGCCATTCAAAATTCCAATCACGCACTGTCACAGATGTTACGTGATTTTCCATCAAGACCGCTAACGTTCAAGCGTGAAAAAGCGTGACACGTAGAAAATCACGTGCTTGGCCTATCTGCAGGTCAGGATAACAAACTCGTAGGAAAGATCATCTCGGCGGTCGGTGAAATACAACAATCTCCACCCAAAGCTGAGCTAGTTCTGTCAAAGAAGCGATTTTGGATGCACAATTTTCGCATGTTTCCATTCTGAACAGAAGTTGCGATTATCAGATCACGGAAGTTGACTTTGACATTGTCCACAAGATATTGTATTTGATGTCGTCTCTTATGATCCCATATAATTATCACTGTATGAGAAAGATAGACAGAATATATCCCACACTTCCTATTCAAGTGCTTCAGAGAAAGCGGGTCCAATTTTGCGGGAACTTGGACAGCTCGGGGTAAATCCCATGAGAGAGTCCACAAGAATTCATCAGAAATTCAGGTTGGTTTAGAGGGATGCATTGAAACTTTTAGGTTTTGGAAGATTTTTTTTTTTATTTAAAACCCGTGATATTTATTAAACGATTAATTAAAAAAAATCCGAAAACTCAAAGACTATCGATATTTCCAAGTCATCTCCCAGTTTGAGGTTATACCTCTTATCTGTTGTTCAAAAATTTTAACGAACCTGTAAGGTCTTGTCTTTGTGTCCGTAACATCAGATATAAAACAGAAAGCCGCTACAGAAAATACACAATTGCCGCCCAAAATTGAGTGTGGCACCACGGCCAAAACGTAGTACCAAGGATTCACCGGTCGATAGACGGCTATTTGACAAATCACAGCAGCAATGAGGTAGGTGAAGGAGAAACCTATGGGAATAGTTAGTATGTATTTAAATAACGGTAATTTTAATAAAAATGCGCGTACATACATACCTATCATTGAAATGACCAACAACGGCTTACGGCCATAGTGATCCGACCATGAACCAATGAAAACGCCACACAACGCCGGCACAATACTCTCCAGCAAAGTGCGAATCATAAACAGATTTGCGACATATGGCTGCACTTCGGTTTCGATTTTCTATTACAGAAAGCAAGTGAAACGAAACTAAACAATTAGATAAATATTAACGTATTTACAAACACATATGAATATATACATACATACAGTGGTGGAAGATTTAATAGAAACTTTTTACCTTGAGAAGTTTTGACTATATTTCTTTTGTGTATTCGATGTTTGATATTTTTTTTTTATAAAAGTCTGTATATCAAGCAGCACATAAATTCACATTTCAAACTTTGTACAAAAATTATAAAAAATTCAACAAATCTTAACAAAATACCCCAAATGCTTCAAACTTTTCATTCATAATTTTTAGAAAAATTTTGTACCTTCAGTTTTGTAACCCATTAAATTTTAGTTGGTTTTTATATTTTTTTTTTTATTGCCGACGCGCACATTGTTTCGACTATATGGAGGCAGGTGGTCAATAGTTGAAATTTGGTAAAGATGGGATAATTGCCACGCCTTCCACTCTTGGGACGGAAACATTAAATTTGATCCGATTTCGATGAAATTTAGTTTGTACTCTTTCTTTTATTATAAAAACTTAAATATAAAATATGGGAAAGATTGAATTACTATAACGTCTACAACTTCCAAAAAATATTCTCTTTTCTCCCAATGTCTGGCATAATTTTTCTATTGTTGGAAAAATTATTTTCGCGAAATTACGCAAAAAGTAGCTGAAAATCGAAAATTAAGCAAATCGAAAATTATTTATATTTGCGAAGTCGTGCGAAAAGATCCGATTATATATTCGAAAACTACATAAAATTTTCTAAAACATACTTCTAATTTCAAGATCTGGCGAACCGGTACTCACACTTTTTTTATTAGTCATCTTTAGCATTTACGTTTCCAAGTCAATTGACAAGAAAAATAGGAAAATACCAAATAAATGATTGATACCTTCACCCATTTATTCCACGACACTTAAAGTAGATATTGATTAGAGTTGGAAAAAAAAACACTTGCTTTAATGGGTTCAGCGTCAAAGGCAACTAAACTCGGTATCGCGCCGATTCCAGTATTTTTTTTTTTTTTTTTTTTTGGAAATGGACCGATCGTGGAGAAGGGGGTTGTGTAAATGATATGAACTTTTGTATTTATGACTCTTATTTTTCCATCCCTAAACCCAAGTGGTTTATTTCATCAACTGTTACCATGACCTTTTTCCACCTGCCTCCATATAGTCGACACACTGTGCGCTGCTAAGCATTTTCTTCCACATAAAGTATGCTCGACAATGCTCGCCTTGAAATTCGCTATAAAACTGCAAACCCAAAATTGTTCTTAAAATTCTGAATAAAAAGTTTGTGGTTTTTAGGGATTTTGTTAAAATTTGATGAATCTTTATAATTTTTGTAAAAAAGTTTGAAATGTGGAATTATATGCTGCTTGTTATATAAAGACTTTGTTATAGCTAGACTTGAAAAAAAAAATTAAACATCGAATACACAAAAGAAATATAGCCAAACCTGGACAAAATAAAAATATTCTATTATTTCTTCCACGACTGCAGGGTATGTAAATATATAAATATGTGGGTATATATGTATGTATGCATGTAAAAATATTTAAAAATATTTATATATGTATGTAAATATATCGAGCCCTAACCGCCAAAATAACGTAAGCGACATTTTTTTCAAAATTTTCTTTTTGATGCAGAAACGTATCTAGAAGCTCTAGGAATATTTCTGCATCAAAAAGAAAATTTTGAAAAAAATGTCGCTTACGTTATTTTGGCGGTTAGGGCTCGATATATGAATACATGGTATTTTAACTTGATCGAACATATAGAGTAATTACAATTTTAAATACATACATACATACATACATATCTGAGGCATTTTATTAAAACCACTTAAGTGACTTTAGATGGTTGACTTTAAATTAATCAAGTAAAGAAGTATAAGTTCAAACAGTTTCGTTAATATGCTATGATATCTTGAAGTAATTATTGCACCAAGTTTGGTGGAAATCGATAAAGCGGTTATCGATATACACTTCTGTTGTCAAAAGTGGGTGGTTCTACGTCCATTTTCCAAAAATCTGTAATCTTGTTTCAGAATATTGTCGTTTTAAGCAACCATCTGATTTTTAGGGCAACCATCTGATTTTTAGGGCAACCATCACCCCTGAAAAAGCTTCAAAGAGCTGGGAAGGTGGCCTTTTTGCCTTACAAGAGTGTGACATTTGATGAAGAAACGAACACAAAATTCTCTCACCCTTTGCCTCTATTTTAGAACCGAACACGAAGAGAGAAAGGAGTAAGTAATCAAAAGGCAGCATTTTTTGGTAGAAACGAAGTCATTATAAGAAAAAAATTGTTTTCAACTTTAGAATCTGTTTTCTCGTCTTTGAATTATCATGCTGAAAATTGCAATACATATTTTTGTAGGAAACTAAACGCTCTAAAAAAAAACATCTTGCATCATTTTTGATAAACCTTAATTTTATGTCATTATAACAGTCTTTCTCCTATTTTAGGTAAAATAATTAAAGTTATTTTCAACTATCCAAAAGAGAAGTCATTGAAAAATTGACATGCGAAAACTTATAAGCAAGCTGGCGAAAAACATATGTTCGCGAATAACTAAAAGAAAAAATTGGCTTTGTGATTTAGCTATTGAAAATTTAATAATTATTGCTAGCATACAATGAAAAAGAGAGTAAAGCTATTAAGCACAAGGTTGGTTATGGTTGCCGCATAAAATTTTTCATTCATACCATATTTTTCTCTAAAGTACATATACCAAAATGGATATATGTAAATGCAGCCACCCGAAATGTTTTAATTATGTTTGAATTGATGATGGAAAAAATTAAAAAGTACATTTCATCACCTGATATGCAAAACGACGTAACAACATCGTAAATGAAATGGAAAAAGTCGTGGCTAATATTTTTATTATTTTTTCATAAAATGTTGTGGGGAGTTGTAGTTCGATGAAATCCATCATACATATATGTAACTCAAAAAGTGAAATTTGATTTTTTTTTTTTTTTGGTTATGACTTTTTGCATTTCAATGATTATGTTTGTTACGTCTTTTTGCATTTCAGGTGACGATTTGTAGCTTTTTGAAAATTTTGGGTTCAACCGCTGCCTGATTGGCCATCTGTTACCCCGCTCCAATCGTTTAAAGTATAAATTACGGTCCACTCTGGAGGAAGCTATGGCTCGCACTACTCGAACTGTTCAATATTTGAAACGCGTCCCTTGTCCGAGCCATTGAAAATTCCAAATACATGGAAACTGCGTACTGCAATCGTCGAATGACCAAACTGATTTGATCCAATTCAGCTTGGTTTTGACACAACTTATTTTCCTAACATACTCATTCCCCTCGCCCTTAAAATGAGCTACATAATAAAATAAGTATGGTCACATGTACATACATAAATGGTTTCTTCTGGAAATTCTCAAATTAAAAAAAAAATAAAAATATTTACTACATTTCTCGCAGATATGCCTGTAGGAGAGTTTTCTAAACCAGTTAGTCGTCATAAAACACTTAATTTTCACTTGAGGATTCAGTATTCCCAAATTCTCCACCGATATTATTTATATTCAGAATGCAAATGCTGCTTTGTGACACATTTACCAAAAATCGCTGGTAACTTCCTGAAAAGTATACGAATGTTTTTGAAAGCTCTATTCACTTTGAGTAACAATTTTCGAAATTTCAATCCGTAAATTCTCTCAAGGATTTGCCTTTTTGGGAAGGCTGCTCATCATCAATGGTCTTTGCAAATCGGCGCAAGTGCCTTTGTAACTACGCTACAGGAGATGAAAAGTAATCCAAATCNTTTGTAACATAGCCATGGCTACGCTACAGGAGATGAAATGTAATCCAAATCCACGTACATACTTCCATTTTCACTATTTATCACCATTAAAATTGACTATTTATCACCAAAAAATTTGAGCTAAGCTATTTTTAGCGATAGAGAGGACAGAACCGCAATTTTTGGAGATAGCTAAAAATTCAGAAAAATTTTAGCTTTCGTAGTTTAGCATTTTAGCATTTTGGCATGCTTTCCATAATTTTCGTCTTTCTTTTATAAATTGCAAAAACGACGCGTTTTTTTCTTCTAAGAGTTTCATGGAACTATCAGCAGCATGTGGTTCTCACTTATAGTTTTGTTACCCATTTAAAATTTTCCTTTAATTATTCGAACCTTACAAAAAAAAATGCACTTGAAACAAATACAAAATAAACCGGTTGCGCATACAACGTGTCAATAACGTTTCGAAAGTGTAACTTTGGTTTATTGCTGTCTAACGGTGTTTTTTATTTTACAAAAACAAAGTGAAGTTTATGTTATTTTGGTTTATTCCCTACAGAATGGCAACAAAAAATAATGTAAAATTGCCCTTACGAAATTGGACTTTCGCACAGCCGAATGAATGAATCGTTTGACCTAATGTGCACTGGGTCATTGTTAAATAGAAAAAAGTTGTGAAAAATATTCACTCGTTCACTCGTTTTATTAGCCAAGTACCATAACATTTGGTAGTATCAAGTATATTATTTTCACCAGCAAGAGATTTAGGAGAGAGCTTCGCAAATTATTCATACCTCAGAACCAATTCTTGGCTCTGAGAAAATAATTCCACTGAATTAGCTCACTTTCTCGATGAGCTACTGTACAACTGACCGTCCGTCCTCGCTGTTGAGCTACGAGTTTAATGGCTATTATTTTGCTATTTTTACAGGAAAAGAATACCTACATACAGGTTCATCAAATATAACAATAGGCAACATTAATGTTCATCCGAAACACTATTAAAAAGATGTTAACATTCAAAAAAAAAACGATATTTGTGAATTGACCTATTATTATTATTATTTTTTTTTTTTTTGTTGGCTAGTGTAACTAAATAGTCCACGCACGATTAAGATTCCTTTCAATAAAAAAAAAATAAATAATGACGTGAAGTGAGTTTTTCAATTTTAATTTACCATATCCTATAGCAAGCACAGACCAAATGTTATTTATATTTTTTATGAAATTTTTTTATTTAAATATTTACCGTCGCTTGTTCACTGGCGTTTTTTGTGCCTAATTCTTGGCAAATAGTCTCATTGTAATTGAATATCGTTGTACAGGCTTGATATATGATTTGATTGCGGAGAATCGTACCTTGGGAAGAAAGGAAATATAATTAAAACAAAAAAAGTACTTCGTTACTCAGCCACGATCGGATTTGGAAACAGTTCAAAAATATATATTTAAAAAAAGAGATGTATGTTTTTTTTGTATCACCAATTCTAATTACCGGATAGACTATGGGCAAACACCAACATAAACACAATCGGTTCTATGTAGTACATGTGGAAGATTTTGCCCCACTGCTGCAGCTTTATGCGCGCTATCATCGTGTTGGCCACTTTTTCCACCATTTTTGAATAAATAGTTATATATTTTTTTTTTATCTGGTTTATTTATTTAATTAGTAGATGAATAGTTACTTTCGCCACCACAAGAGTTTGTTTTCACTTTCGCGTCATTCGCCTTTCGGTGCTCCCGGATTCAAATTCAATTATTTAACTGTACATTCGAAATTGATTTCAATTTCAATCCGTTTTATGCCTAATGTAATACCTAATGTAGCTAATGCGGCAATAAAATCACAAACACTAAAATTAATATTTTTTTTTTTTTAAATTAATTTTTGATATACTATCTCCGGAAGCCTTCAATCACCTAATTGTATTTAAAGTTTTTGAACTTGAATTATGAATTTGATTTATGTAGCACTTATTATTATTTTAACAATAAAACCGCTCTTCAGTAATAGGTATTCGTTTCATAACCATGTAGAATGCGTCCGACTCCAGTTAAAGTGTCACATAAAGTGGCAAATATGTAAGAAAATATCGAGAATAGGATCGCCTTTTCTGTTTACGCTTCGCTAGTTCGCTAGTGCTGGTTCTGCGAGCTAAGTAGTTATTTACATGCAGGCGGCTTTCTTTGCATTTTTTCCCGTGTGAGTTGTTGGCTGATCATCGGACGCGCACACGCATCCACTTCAAGCCGGAATTAATTTGAAACTAACTTCATTGTTGCAGTTATCTTGAAAAAATCGTCGCATGTGAAGTCGCTAGCTACTTACTACGTTTCCATTCATACCTACATACATATCTACATACATACCTACATATATGTATTTGCAAATAGGTAAATATAGGCAAGCGTGTGTGTAAATAATAAGGTACGAAAAATCAGGCTTACATATCGCCGTTTAATGTACAAAACCCACTTATCAACAAAATGCAAAACTGTGTATAAATTATTTTCTGTATAGTAAAAACACTCATATTTCAAAATGATTCTCTTTTTTTGTTAAGCAATCGCATTTCTAGATCGTAAATTTCAGGACGAATGAATAAGGCCTGAGCCAAGAGCTTCGGTGAGCAAATACAAATATTGGCAAAAAATGTCAGTTAAGCGGTTTTGCAGTACGACGATACGCGGTTTTGTACTTTAAACGACGATATGTAGATTCACACATGCATACATATGTACATATAGGCCACCGTCTTCAAAAGAGTCACAACTCAAAATAATACGTTTGTCAGAAAATGCCAAAAAATTACTTCTTAGCACTTGATAATCATATGGGCAACGCCGACTTCACCTTGGTTTTTTTTTAATGAATTATAATAAAAATTTGCTTCAGCTTTTGCTGAAAGCTAAATAAAAGCTCTGTGTACTTTTTTAGTACATAATTTCAAAAACGCAAAATTTTGAGTTGTGACTCTTTTGATGACGGCTGAGCGGCTGATATCGCGCTATCAAAAGCGATCTAGCAGCTGAGCATCCGAACAATTAATTTTGCTTTCATCTTTTTTTTTTGTTTTATTTCATAGAAGATTCAGGCGTGAAGCTAAAACCAGATACACGATCAACTGATTCCGCCATAGGTGCTTGTAAGCTCAGGTATGGCGGATTTTATCGTAGACAGTGTTTGTAGTTTTTTTGTTTATTTGAGTAGTCCACTTGCAAAGTGCGCCATGTAAAATTTTTTCGATTTTTAGTTTTTGGTGGGTAACATACCAGTTATTAAAGTAGTTTCATGTCCACTAACAACCCGATGCAAAATCTTTTTATATTCTGTTATGGTATGTTATATTTTAATATTATTAGGCTCTTATTTATTTATTTATTTTTCCAGTTTGAAATCAAATTTATTTGAATGATTATACGAAATATAATTCGCACTGAGCATTTGAAAACACGTTTACATACCTGTGGCTGTAGCTGTTATTGGTTACATCCCAGAAGGTCCCAGGCTCGAGCGACGGTCAGATGCAAGATATTAAAATGTTAATACAAATTTTGGGGGTTATGTTTCCAAACTATAAAAAAAACATCTGGGAAGTGCAGAACGAAAGCGTATGCGTACGAAAAGAACGCTAGCAATTAACAGTTCTAAATTAGACAGACGAGATTTAGTTCGTTCTGCATCCATTTTCCGATGTTCTATATTTTTAATGGAACGTTTTCGTTTTCTTATCACATGTTCTGTGACTATTTTAGATTTAGCAAATTTGCCTATCATTGAAAAAAAATGGTCAAAAATAAAATAGGTCGTTCGACCTTTTCGAAAACGATGCCTTTTTAATTCTTCTTGCTTCTTGCATCAAAATCTAATATTTTTGAAAAATTGGACTTAATAACTTTACACTCTTAGCTACAAAAAGTACCACATTTCGCTGCTTTCGGGCCTGTGAGGATCTAATTACTAACGTACTGGTTCGTTTTTGGCATGAGGATCTCTAGTACGGAACTAAAAATTTGGTGTTATAGTGTCGGGGTTTCCCTGCAGGGTATTTTTTTTGTTTTAAACTTAGTTCGAGATCGTAGATAAATCCTTTATCAGTAACATGATCTATGTACATACTTTCATATCAGCATCCGCTCCATTAAACGCCGAGACGACCTTTTTACTTGTCTGTGTCTGGTTTGTATTTGCTACTTTTAAGTTTTTTTTTTAATGGTCTGGGATTTATACCCAGATAATTTACAATCTACATAGATAACATGAAAAAATAGAACAGTGTACTAGAAGATGTTAAGGTATGTATGTATATATACATACACATGATTGCAAATAGAATAAAATAAGATTAAATATTTGCTGTTTTAAATTCTAGTAGGATCATACACAGTACGCTTTGTTCCGGTTTCGTTTATCCACCGATGACAGCAGGTAATCGCTGATAATTGGTTTTGAATATTTATTTCCAAATCGATGCATAGAAAAAATTAAAAAACACTTGTACATTAATACAAATATTAGCACTTTTTCGCGCGGTAGCGAAACAAACAAATATGTATATACAAACATACATATGTATGTAAGTATCTATGTACATTAGACCATATCACGATGTATGGGAAAAAATAAAAAAGTTGAATTTGTTCTAAGAGATTTTGAACACCCACCAAGCGAGTATTTCAGGAGTGTAAAGTCTTTTTTTTCGGCACCCTTTAAAATCTGCTAAATTGGTTTTCTCCTATAACCTTTTTATTTTATGTACTTTCCATTTCTATAAATGATACGCCATAGTAAAGGTACATATTAAGAAAGCCTACGGTTTTTAAGTATATTTTTAAGCTTCTTCCTATTTATAACAGGCCACCGTTTTCAAAAAAAAAAATTTACTTTTTAGTTTGGCATAATCGGATTATCGCTTTAGGATAGGCTTTTTTTATACCTCTAAAACAGTATATATACCATTTATAGAAATCGCACATCAAATACAGAAGTTATAGAAAATAAAATTTCACACTGCTAAAATACTTCCGTTGGGAGTGCTTAAAATAGTTTGGAACAAATTAAACTTTTTTGTGATACGGTTTAATGTATGTATGTATGTATGTATGTATGTAAATAGATTGGGCTGTAACTATAAAGAGTCATGCATGAACAACTCATACAGTTTTTTTTTTTGTGCACGTATGTACATACATTAGAGTGGTCAAAAAAAAAATGTTTTCCTCTTGCCGAAAGAGGTGCTGATACAAAACCGTACGTTTCGTATCCATTTAGAGATATTAATCAAACAATTGGTTAAATAAACTAAAAACATTTCAAATTTAAATTATCTGAAAAAAATATCACAAGCTTCAGTTGCCATGGCAACAATAGCTTTTTATAAAAATCACCAATATTTTTGCCAGTTTCACAGCGATCCAGTAGCGCATTTCAATGTCATTGAGCACCCTGTATTGGTTGCAGTAGAAAACTGAAATTTGGTATAGATATTAAAAACTAAACTAAACAAAAACTAAGGAGGTGCCCCGTTTTCTAGGATGACATTTTTCCCGCCATAATAAAATTGAACCACTCTAATGTATTATATATGTTAATTTTTACACATATGTATGTATACGTATGTATACCTATTTTAGGCTTATAATAAATTCGGGACATGTTTCTCTCATTGAAACCGAACTTGCCGCAAGTTCAATGTTAAATTTCGCACATTAGTGCTTATTTAAATACTTGTAGAAACAATTGGATTTGGATTGGCATTTATGGGATTTTTTTCCAAACGAGCATATTTACATTTGTACATATATATCGTCGTTTAAACAACAAAACCGCGTATCAACAAAATGCAAAAACCGCGTATCAACAAAAACCACGTATGTGAGGTTGCATAAATTATTTTCTAGAGAGTAAAAACACTCATATTTCATAATGGTTCTCTTTTTTTATAAAGCAATCGCATGGTTTTGCATCTTGTTGATACGCGGTTTTGTACCTTAAACAACGATATGTAATCCTATTATTCATATCTAATTGCAGTGCAATCACAAATTTGAAAGAAATAATTAAAAATTAAAATAATTTCTATGGCCCGTACTCGTTAATTGCCGGGGATTCACCATATAAAGTTGGAATATTATTTACAGCTCACAGTGACTTGAAAATCTATCCTTTAAATAGGCCGAATTAAATTGTAGTATCTTTCGAATCACAGAAATATGTGGGTGCCCTTATTTTAGAAAGGCCTTAACTTATTTGCTTGCAAAATTTTACATTGTTCGTGATAGAGATCAGGTTAATATTGAATAGTGTAGCCCGAATACAAACGTGTTTTAATTCAATTGTGGCCTTTGATCCCCGAAAAAAAATTCGATTTCTTACCGTCAAGCCAATTCATTAATTATACGAAATGAATCGAAATTTGTTAACATGTACAAAATATATACATATGTATGTATATACAATGTAGGTATGTATGATCATCTCCGACAAACAGCAAATAATAAATCTTTACACTCAAATAACTAGTCAAATAAATTAATAAACGACACTTCACCGCACGAGCCAATAACCCAGCAAACAAAATCGCTAAGATAATAAACAAAGTTTTATATTATGCCGTATTAGAATATTTTGAACATCTCTGTGGTTTCAAACAAACATACTTATATTCGAGAGCACCGCATTACACAGTGTCGATAAATCTTCTTTGTTATAGAGAATGGTATAAGGAAATTTTACATTTTAGAAAAATCTTAGAGTTTGAGCAATTGTGAGTAGTTAAAAATTAGCCGAAAACTATTTCCAACCGCCAATTAGTGTATCCCCAATGTCTGCGCTGAAATTATGCCGCAATCAAAAAGTTCAGAAAAACATATTCCCAGGTTTGCATGCATATGCATGTATTTGTGGAGTACATACAGCTAAAGTCAGTAGCAAAAAGTCCGAATCAAGTAATTTCGGAGCTTTTAATAACTTTTGCTTTATACTCGTCGAAACTTGTTTAAATTTTATTTCATTTTTTTTTTTGACAAAAACAGAGGCTTTGGCAAGTAAAAAAACTGGTTAAAATAATTTCAACTCAATTAGAAAATATGTAAGTAATATTGTTTTTAACAAACCATAACTTAGAAAGTAGTATTAGTTGTAAATACATACATATATACAAAAAAAAATCAAATCATCATGGTCCGCTGGTTTTAATTATTCAACGCGAAAACAGCTTAATTTTAGAAACGTTGCTGATAACGCGCAGGAAACAAGCTCTTTTTACGTAAAATAACGCTGAAAATAGAATGTAGTTTTTTTTTTTATTAATTGAATGAAAATTAGAATAAT